TTTGAGTGCCAAATTATTTCGACCATTGATCAATAACTGATCTTTCAGGTGCTGCGGAGGATGCAGGTACTTGCATTTCGGGTTCTCTCGAGTGCAGCGACCCTGCAAAAAACACCGAAGTACAGTCCTTCAGAGATTTCTAACCCTCCGTGCAATGTGCACGGTATATAGCAATTCTAAGAAATAGTAGAATAAAAGGATTGGACTTAAGTGTCATGTGTAACAAGACATTTTACGAAGTAGTTTGTGTTTCATCCTTTAGCTGTAAACACAGATCGAATTACACGCAAGAAGTCAAACGTGAATTAATAGCTGTTCCAGGTAGTCCAGGCATTTGAAAAGCGATAGTTCTTGGATGAGCAGCAAATATTTGGCCAGAGATGTTAGAAACAAAGCCCATTTGACTTACATGCTACGCAAAATGAACGAAAAATTATGAAAATTTGAAATTCTCTCTTACTGAAGAGACCCCTCTTCAGCAATGTGAAAAGAGGACTCTCCCAGTAAAGGCAAATTTCAAAAAAAAAAAAAAACCGGTAATTGGGTAGATTACCATCCCACAACAGGATCAGAAAATGGTACCGAAGTCGTGCGCTTCGAAGTTTAGTTTGTGTACACAGCAGGTTGCTGAACATGAACAGTAATTGGCCAACGCACGGGCTGCCTGTGCGAAGATGCGTTTTTTGCATAGTTTCCCGCAGTTTTTGTCGCTACCGGCATCAGTTCTTCCGACAAATGCTTTTAGCCAAACAAATTAAGACTGGCCGCCAGAACTGTCAGGAAACACCCCTTAAAATTTCAGCTTTCTAGCTTTTCCGGCTCCTGAGTTAGCAACTTACAGGGAAAAAACTTCCACGGGCCGTACGTGGGTATCACGCATACCCACTGTCCGGGTTTGAGCTCGTTGAGACTTAAGTGGACTGGAAACATTCTCTTAAAACTACAGTCTTCTAGCTTTTCAGATCCTCGAGTTAGCAACTTGCCCGAGAAAAACTTTGGTGAGCCCATGCATGGGTACCACGCAT